ATTTTGCTTATTCCTATAATATTTTCTTAGTGTTTTTTCTTCTTGTTTCGATTTACTTATTTCTTTATGTTATTTCCTTGTTTCGTTTTTTTTCTAAATTTGGTCTACTTCTTTCTTTCCTCTTTTTTTTTTTCTCTTATTTCGTTTTTTTTTCTTATTTTAACATAGTTTGTTTTTTTTACTTGTTTCGTTTTTGATTATTTTTTTTTCTTGTTTCATAAATCTATAAGATAAAACAGAGCGGGGCTTCAATAAGCCAATTGTACGGCCTTCATTCATCCGAAGGCTCATAATATATCTCATTCAAATTCAAAAGTGCATAGATATTCCCCTAAATCCATCTCATTCAACTTAACCTAATCCAACCATCACATCCAACCCAACTTAACCAAACTCAACCATCACATCCAACCCAACCCAAGATCTGTTCTGTATCATGTCCTCTCTCTCGTCTCAGTCTCTTCACTATCAGAGAGCAAGCGGCGAGAGACAGCAGTCACTTCCCCAAAATTCATGGCATGGTCACTTCCCCCTCCTTTCTACCTCTTCCCTTTTCTCTCCTCTTTCTCCAACGTAGAACTTCGGTCAAATTCCGACAAACTCGGATTTATCCAGCGACTTTCTGTAAGGTTAGTCTACTTCTCTTTCCCTATTCTCTTCTTGATGTCCACACACACGCACTAGATTCAGCTCATGCATAACACACACTGATACACTAACACAACACACTCTCACACACCGACACAGACACTTGCATGCACACATACAACCCCCAACCCAGCAAACAAACACACGCATAACACCCACCCGTATAGAACACTTACTCATACACACAAAAAATTCATCAAATTAATAACCCTTGCTGTTAATTTGATGAAATTAGGGCCGCTATTCATTGTCCTATTCAACTGTGTAGCCTCCACCCCTGAATTTCTCTTAGTGGGACTACTTTAATATTGAATAAATAATATGAAAATATTTAACTTAAACTGATTAGGCTTGGTTTGGTTGGTTGGAAGCCTCCACCCCTTTTCTTTTACGCATACTAGGTGATTGAGCAAATGTCAAAGAGAAGAAAAATAGCCTTTCACCCAGGCTGATACTAGAAACCAACGTTCCTGCATTCTAGGTGGTCAATGAAATGTCAGAGTGAAGAAAAAACCCTTTGGTTCCGATTTTGGGTTTAAACATGAGCAAACATGTGTGTTAATACTCAGTCTGATATGAGTAAACAAACCCAAAATCATCTTCCTCTTTTTTTGTTACATTTTGGATCTTTTTTGAGTTATTGTCGTAGAGAAAAAGTCCAGTACTCGAACCCCTTCTAAGGGATGGGGCAACACTTACGAGAGGGTCTTAATTGAACCGAGCCTTTCAATTTTGAATGTACATGGACTCAATTTGAGTTAACTTTCATTGATTGACCCAAACCAACTGAAGCGGTAGTTTCTGACTATATAACTTTGTTTGTCTGAAGTTAAGTCGTACTTTGTTGACTTCCATGTTAACAGATATAAGAAGGTGACGGTGGTTGTGACACCATGTTGGTTGGATTTCACCATATAAGCAACGTGATTGTATCAATTTTGGAGTGCACCTGAATTTTTTTGTGGGAATGGGGCTTTGAAAGTATATAGTCTCTTGGCCTAACAAACATATAGTTCAATAGCCATGTGAGGTTATCTTTTGTAGTTCTAGAAATAATTAAAAACACAAAAAGGTTTTCTATATATTTCCTTGGGAATTATCAGTTGCCGTTGAATTATCACTTTTTGTTATGATTATTAGCCAACATCAAAATTTCCATGCACTTGATTTAATAATTTTGTTTCTCTCATCAAATTGCACATGCTCTTGCTTTATCAATGATTTTCATATGATAACAATTATAATTCAGCCTAGGAGGTATATGCAAAGTTCTGATTAGCATTTTGGTGATTTAATATAAAATTTTCGTATAGTCTTTAAAAATTTGGTGCATTCTTTATTAAAGTACAATATGAAATTTATGAGTAGGTATCTGGTCTTTTATGTTGGTTTTGTTAGATTCAGAAAGAAATTGTTTCGCAGAAATTTCCTGAAAGATCAAAGGAAAAGGCTGAGCGATCACAATCAACTGCATTTAAATCGTTTGGCGGTCAAAGACAAGGCTCCAAGGGGTTCCTGTTGGACTCAAAGGAGCAGCAGTTGGTATGAAGGGAATTCAATTTTTTTCTTTTCTTGGATAGCCGCTATTCAGTTGTAAGTATCAGAAAAGCTTGCATAGCTTTTGTTTATTCTTATTCCTGGAGTAATTGGTTTATGAATTTTTGTTAAGTTAAAAAGACTGATAATATAACAAATTCACAACTTGGTGATCTTTACCCGAAGCAAATTGGATCTTTGTTTCTTTTGTTGATCTTTCTAGGGGATATTTGGCCTTTTGGACATTATATACCCTATACTTCAATCTGGATTTTTATATCTACTTAATTGATTCCTATATTAGTTTGATGATCTTATGCTTATTTTATGCTGGTTATTTCGATTATGTTGAGTTGATTTTTAGATCTTTGTTTGTTTTTGTTTTGTACGTGTGTGTATGTTATCAAAAAATTAATTTTTCATTTTATTGGTTCTATTCTATTGGTTATTTCAATATTCTATTGGTTACTGCAAATAGGTTTTTATAGGGTTTTGATTAATTATAGAGATTGTATGTCAAGTAGTATGAATATGTGTATTTAACGAATTTTTCTAATTTTTTAATTTATTTTGTGTCTTATATTTGCAGTCATCATAGTGTACTAACCACAACTGCAAACTCTTAACATTGAAAAATGAAAGATCTCACCATTTTTGGTCGTGTGAGTTTAAACATCTTCTATTTTTTCTTTTTTCGGCACTGCAAAATATTCACATATTTATTTCACGTATCTTTTACAGATTCACGAAGACTTAGAGGAAACCGTAAGATGAGTTTCATATCACTCATATTCTTAATAATTTTTTCTCATATAGTTTGTGTTTATTTACCTGTTAAATGCATATTCATGTATAAGTTCAATTGCTCAAGAAAAATAACGTTGGTGTTGTGATCTGCGACGAACGCGAACTCAATTGAATCCTCATTTCTGAGGTAGTGTCATGACACATCACTTTGTTTAAAAATTAAACTTTTTTTTTTCTATATAATGATTTCATTTATTTATGCTTACTATCTAAAAAGCAAAGGAATGAACAGTCGTAATTGCAAATGCAAAGTGTAAAGGAAAATGAATATCAATCTCTTATTATAAGGAAAAGGTAAGTACTTTGTGACAAGTGGTATTACATTGCTAACATTTTAACAATGTTATTTTATTGATCAAACGTTTTACTTATGTTATTTCATATATAGAATTGGGATGAAGCAGTGCATGAGTTAAAAAGACTAAATGCAACTCATCTTTTTTGATGAAGTTGTTTGAATAAGGTAACTAAATTTATTTTTTTATAGTTTATTTTAGATTTTCAAGTTTATAATTTAAAATTTATGTCGTGTATAAAATTTAACTATTTTTGTAAATGCTAGATTGTTGTATATTCTCCCAATTGGAAGCTGCGGATTTGGATTGATACAATTACTTTCAAGGCTGTGATGGAGAAATTATTTTTACAATGATGTGCAGATAAATGACTCATTTTGATAAACTAGATTAAAGAATGACTCATTTTACGTACTTTGGTCATTCTTTAATCTTATTTATATTTAGGCACAACTATGTGGTTTGTTTGTTCCGTGTTTAGTACCATGAACTAATTATACATGGTTATGAAGATATGTTTGGTTTTGATGTGAATTGATGGTTGAGTATGGAATTAAGTTGTGATATATGATGATTGTGGTGGAAATAGAATTGAATTGTAGTGGTATAGGGCATTATTATGATTGTGAGTTTTGTAGGCAGGTTGAAATCTTCTTGAGCTCCTATTTTTATAGGAAGTTTTGCCAAATTTTTTGAAAAATTAGTGGGGGTTTTATTGATTTCAATCTATTTAATTAAAGCGAATGTTGAAAAAATAATTTGAAATTAACCATTTATTTTAGGTTGCAAGGTGCCTTTAGGCACAATAATATTCTTCAAGTTCTAATTTAAGTTTTCGTTACGTCATATCTTTATGCAAGGCCAATTACTGTATTAACTTAATCGAATTTGCGTGATTTTTTGTTTACTCTTTATTTTAGTATGGTGAATTAATTTCACGATTATGAGGATATGTTTAGCTTGATGTGAAATTGATGATTGTTTTGGTGGTTGAGTATGAATAATTGATGTTAGGAGATTGTTTCATTTGTTTTTCAGTTCTGTATATAAGTTAGTATTTTCATGGTCTTCTATTTTCAAAGGAAACCAAGTTGAATTTTTTGCTTTGATTTGATTGTACTGTACATTCAAGAGACTCTGATTTTTGTAGATAGGTTGAAATTTTTCTAAATTCTTATTTTTAGAGTAAACTTTGCCGAAATAGTCTTCAAATAATATTTTTTAAATTAAATAAAATTTTTTAGGGAATTAACTGATTGGTTTACGTTGTACCGTGCCTTCAGACACGAGTTATCCCTAATATATTTATACATTCAACTAATTATTTTCTTTCATTTTTTTTTTCTTACAATGACTTCTTTTATTAAAGGAATATATATATAATTAGTGAGTTTAATTATTAATAGAGTATATGTAGCACGAGGTGAATTTAGTTACTAACGAGGTGAATATAAAAAGGGTGAACTTAATAATTTGATAATGAAATATTAAATAGGATAAAAAAAAAATTTGTGGGACGAGAATAGTCTCAACCATAAAATATTGAAAACTTTCCGTACAATTAACCCAAAAAGGAAAAACAGAAAAAAACCCAGCCCCGTTCAACCCTACCACGTCTATTACATTTTACAGAAGCCAACAACTCTTAAACCCTCCTACTGAATCACAGAAGCTAATCTCTCTCTGTCTCTCTTTCTCTATCACACACAAAAAATGGCTGAAGACGAGAAAGCGCAACTCGACCCACTTCGCACCTACGAGCTCCGTCTCCTTCGTTGCTCTATACCGTCCGATTACCTAGACGAAACCCCACCTCCTCCATCTAAGCTGTCCAATACCAGCACCGCGTCTCAGCTCCACTCCCTCATCGAAAACCTTCTCCAATTAATCGAGTCCGGACAGTACCGCCATGCTCTATCCTCAGAAGCAGGCCGAACCCTCTTCAATCTCAACTCTTCCCACCTCCCTTCTTTGTTTGATTCCGCTGATCAATTTTACAATGAGTCGGTTGTCAAGTGTGTCGAATCATTTATATATGGCGATAATTGTGAAGAGAATGACAATGAGAGGTGTTATAGAGCGTTTTTGGTCATGGCCATTGCCGTTGCTGCTCTTCTTTCTTTCACTCAGTGCAATATAACTGGGTTAGTCAGTGCTCAATGCTTAATTGACCTTGCCCTGCTCTGCTTTTGTTACAAGTGTTCAATGATTATTTAATTATTTATATAGGACATTGAATAAGTCTGCACTTTTTAAATGAGAATGGAGCAGCTGTGAATGAAGAAAATGGGTTGTGGATTTAGAGGATTAGGATAAAGTATCAGATTCTGGAGTCAAGTACTGAATAGGGTGTAGTCCATTTATTATACTAGTCAGTTCATTTATAACTATTTCTTTAGGTCGTTTGGAATTGCACATTTGTAATTGAATATGATCTGTTTTAGCTTGTGCTAGGATTTAGGGCAATGATATGCTTGAAAGTAGAAGACCCATAACTTGCGATTTTCGGTGTGGTGTGTGAAGTGTAGGTGTAATTGTGAGAATGTTGATCACACATTGTTGCATTGTCTTGTGGCACAAATTGTTTCAATCAGCACATACAAGCTGGATGAATATTGTGACTTTCTCTTCCATGCTTGTTGAGGATTTCAAGGGGTTTGGAAGTGACAATAAAGGGTCCACTCATTGGAATTGTGCAATTTTTGCAAATATGGGAGTTTGAAAGACTTTATTCATTCATGGTCTTGTATTAAAGTACTCTTGATTTTCTTTTGTTTTATTCTCATTTGTTGTGACTTGTGACACACTCTTAGTCTTGTACTTGGATGTTTCTTATCATTCTTGACTTGGAGTTATATGTTATGTTAGTTTGTGTTTTATGAATGGAAAGGAATGCTAGAATATTAGAGGATCATGTAAGGGTTAAGGAGGGTATTGTGTTGAAAATTGACTTTGATAATACTTATAAGTTAACATCATGTAGATTGAAAATTTCTTGATTATGTTTGGAAGTTAAAGGCTTTGGAAGTAGGTGGAGGAAGGGGATGAAAGTTCTCTGGAATCTATGAAATTTTTTGTCATGTTGAATGGGAAACCAAGGGAAAATTTCAAGACTTCTAGGGGGTTGATGCGGGGAGATCCCTTGTCTTTATTTTTGTTTACTTTAGTGGTAAATGGATTGAATAGATTAATGGATAGGGACGAAAGATGTAATTTAGTGGAGGATTTTGTAATTGAAAGGGATGGTGTTTTAGTTTCTCACTTGCAATATGCAAATGACACTTTTTTTTTTGCAAGGGGAAGAGAAGAAAGTGAAAGATTTGAAGAGGATTGTTGACGTTTTTGGGTTGTGGCTAGTCTTTAGGTTAATATGGAAAAGAGTATAGTGGTTGATATTAACACTACTCAGGATAAGATTGATAGGATAAGTTGGTTGTGGATTTGAGATGTGTAGTAAGGAGTTAGCCTTTGAAGTATCTAGGGCTTCCTTTAGGTGGTAATTCAATGTCTAGGTCTTTTTGGGATCGTGGAAAAAAACTTTTATTTCTAGAGGAGGTAGACTTAGTTTAGTCAATTTTGACTAGCATTCCTATATATGTTATGTCTCTTTTTAAGTTACCTGCCTCAGTGGCAAGGGAAATGGAAGGAATAATGTGGGAATTTTATGGTAAAGAAAAGGGGAGGGTAGGAAAGATCACTTTATATCATGGGAAGTTGTGTCAAGATCCAAGGAAAAAGGTGGGTTGTTGGTGAAGAATTTGCTAAAGAGGAATATTTATTTAAATTGAGGAACAGCTGTGGAGGTTTCCTTTGGAACAAGGATCTCTGTGGTATTATGTTATTAGGATTAAGTATGGACTACATGCTAATGGGGTGGAATGAGGGAGTTTTCGAAGTTCATGAAAGATTATTTCTAGGTGTTTTTCTCTTTTCAGTCAAAAGATTAGGTTCATGGTGGGAATGGGATTAGGGTCCTTGTTTGGAGGATATTTGGATTAGTTAGTCATCTTTCTCTTAGTTATAGAATCTCTACATTTCAAGGTCATGTGATTATGTCTCTTGTGAGTTCCTTTTCCTTCCCTATTTTATGAGATTTTGGTTTCCGTATAAGTTTGAATGATAGGGAATGCTTGGAAGTGGTTGACCTTTTCAAGACTCTTAATAATGTCTCCTTGACTCATGGTAGTATGGATAAAAGGGTTTGAATCATTGATACTACTAGTGTTTTTTCATGTAAATCATTATTTGAATCTTTAATCGATGTCTTTGTTTTCCTTTATTCCCTCCATCAAAGGTGATTTGAGAAGAAGGTTCAAGTGTTTGGATAATTGCCCATGACAAGATCAACACTCAGGATGTGCATCAAAGAAGAAGACCCAAGATTTGTTTTTTATTGCAATTGTGACAGTGTGGTTCATTTATTTTTAATATTGTCCATTGAATTGTCTCTTTGGAATAGGTTATTTTGTTATGCGGTCTTTGTTGGGTGGTACCAAGAACTATTTTCTCAATGATTGGTATGGATGAGATATGTAGGAGTGGCAATAACAGATGGAAGATTCTTTGGCGATGCGCATGTTTTGTTACCATTTGAGGAGTTTGGTTAGAAAGGAATACAAGGATTTTTTATGACAAATGTGAGGTGATTGAAGGATTATGGGATATGATTTTTTTCTTTGCCTCTTTTTTGGGCCTTGATGTCAAAGGAGTTTGAGAATATTCGCTTTTTTTGCAACACTTCAAGTTGGAGAGCTTCATGTGGGATATCGATGTTTTCTTCTTTCTCATGATGTATTTTCTTTTTAGGATTGTCTTTGATTTTTTGTTGTTTTGGACTACTTGTCCAAACGTGACTGCTTAGTGTACTATCTTTCATTTTGATTATTAATGACATCATTGTTTCTTATAAAACAAAATATTAGAGGAGTGATGTGAGTTGGTGGAAGACTTATGTGATTAGATTCAATTGTTTGGCATTATTTTGGGCCTCAGTTACTATGGACTTTGAAGGATTTTTGCTCTTTTGTACTTTGGCTGGATGGAAAGTTTTATGTGACTCGTAGTTATGATTTGTTGTTTTTTGTGGTGTTTCTTCATGATGGACATCTTGTCCATCCTATGTTATTTTATGATGTACGAGGTGCAAATTAGTAAAATTTGTTATTTCCTATAAAAAAATGAAAAAATGTGAGGAGACACATTTAGGAATATTGTGAAAGAAGATAAAAGGCTATGTATTAAGCGGCTTTAAGATCATCTCGAGATGCAATGTTTTTTTTAAAATAGTTATCGTTTATTTAATAACGTATTAAGTATGAGTTGGACTTAACCCCCCGTACATTTGTATAAATTGTAAGTCTAACTTTCTGTTAACCTACCGTATGTTGATGAGAGATCTACTTGAATACAATCGATTTCACTTGGATTCATAGTGGGAGATATAAAATGCAGAGAATTGGAGAAATTAGTATTGGAGATGATCTGAATTTCATTTGTTGGTGTTATTTATTTATTCTGTAGATTGACAGATATCAGACTTATCTCATGCTTAAATGTAGTCACAAGCGTCTCGTTTCCTGCGCTGCCCCTTTTATGAGTGTGTATTTTTTTTTTATGAGTGTCTATGGATCTATTTTTTGATGCATATGTGTGTGCATGTGTGTATATATGTTACAGGCCAATAGAGAAGTTCCCTTTGATGCCTATTATTGGCTTGTATTTAGAAGAGGATGATAATTGTGCTGATTGGGAGGAGTGGGAAGGGTGGGCACGTAAGGAGCTAATGTCGGTAGGTTCTGACTTGCTTGGGAAATTTTCTTCTTTGCAGGTACTCTCTCATTCACTTGCATATTGCTTTACTTATTGTAGTTAATGTTGCTGCTCCTATTGTTATTGGTATTCCTTATTATTAGGTCCTGTATAAGTATAACGTTTTAGTTAATGGGTTGGGGGATTTTGCTTAATATTTCTAGGTTTTAATTTATCAGGTTGGTTGTTTTTAGCTGAATAGTACTGGTGCCAAATATTATGGTGCTGCCAAATTACAAGCCTAATTTTATGGGTTTTCACTGTATATATGATTTATTAATTCCTTGATTTTGTTTGCATCCTGGAACAGAGTCAAAGTTGCTGAGTTTTGTTTTGCAGTTTTTTCTTATGTAGATTTTATTTTTGATAAATGGTTGATATTTGCAATAGATATATGTAAGTTTGATTTACATATCGAGGCTTAGGTGGAAATTCCATGTCTCTCAATCTGAAATATGCTTTCAAAATTTTCGAGTTTATTGATCATTTTCCTCCCTTTTTCCCATCCTAACTTCTTTATGGTATCTTGTTTCTGCGTCCTATAGGAAAGTCATAATCAATTTCACTCCTGCCATAACAAACCATAGCATTTCACTCCAATCAAATGACTCAGAAGGTAGCAAAAATTGCACAATTCCACCGAGTGACAATCTTTTTGCCCCTTCCCCCCTCTCCTTTGAATTTTCAGTCCGACTTTTTTGACCTAGAGGAGAAGTGACAGATACATGGGCAACCCCATCTTGTGAACAACTTCCACCACATTCCCAGTGCAATCGGACAATGAAGGAAAAGATGATGAATGCTTTTCCCTTCCTTCGGCACATGGCAGATCATTGTGGTTGCAAACAAGCATGAGACCCTCTTTTTGAAGCAGAGCATTGGTTTGATCCTGCAATGAGCAATTGTCCATGCTTACACTTGGACTTTAATGGTTACCTTGGCCTTCCCAATCATCAAAGACTATGGCTTAAAGTGATTAAGTTGTGATTACAGAAATGTGGGTATAATCATTCTTAGTGAATATGAAAGTTTGATGATCGATGTCTGAGGAAGGTCAATAAGTTTTTTGTCAAATTTATCACTACAATCTATCAATTAAATTAAAAGACTAATTGGTTTCAAAAAAAATAAAATTAAAAGACTAATTCAACTACGAACACATATGGGATTAAGCTAATGAATTGAATCAATCAATCAAGTATTGCATGCAAGTATCTAAAGCAATCACAGTAGAAAAGGCACAAGATTTTTTATGTGGAAACTCGGAAAGGAAAAAATTATGGGGCCTAGTCCAACATAAATACACTATATATGGTTCAATCTTGTTACAAGGCACAAAAGACTTATGAGACCTATATCTCCATAGACTGATGCTTTCTTCTTGTGTTGAACTCGTTTCCTAAATACATCTTCGAGTCCTCTAGCTACTTACCACAAATTGAACTCCACACT